CAGAGACCAGATGGAAATGGCTGAAAATTTTTACCATCGGATAGTGCAAAAAGGCATAATCCCTTGTTACACAACTTGGGAAATTCTTACATGGGGTTATTTGAAAAATGAGCAAGCGGAAAAAGTAATGGATTGCTTTAAGAAAGCTGTTGGTTCTGTGAAGAAATGGGATCCAAATGTAAAGTTGATTAGAGAAGTATTTAATAAACTTGAGGATCAAGGCAATTACAAAGAAGCAGAGAAGCTTTTGGTTATTCTTCGGAAGGCTGGCCATGTAAGCATTGAGGTATACAATTCACTCCTAAGGACTTATGCCAAAGCTGGCAAAATGCCACTCGTAGTTACTGAGCGGATGAAGAAGGACAATGTTCATTTGGATGAAGAAACACATAAGCTCATAAAACTAACAAGCAAAATGTGTGTAAGTGAAGTCTGTTGTACGCCTTAGTAGAGGGTAAATTTGTTGGAGAATGATTTAACTTCTTTGCCATTGAAGTTGAATTCTATTGCTTCTGTTTTCAAGGGTTACTTTCAAGAGGTAGAATATGAAGGAGCTAGCCCTCCAGTTATTTTCAAGAATATATAGAACATTTAGGGGCAAATTTTATTGCTGAGGCTCGCGGTTCAACCTGGTAGATGTTCTTCAAGATTGGTTCTGTTAAATGGGGAATCAACAATCTTTTGAGCTTTTAGTGATACCTAATTCTTATGTCCTTGGATTCCTGCTCCAACAAAATTGCAGAAGAGGATGAAATGCACCTTTGCTACGAGCTGCCGTTGGACATTTCAACCCGTAATTCACGAACTGCAGTCAGATATGGCTATTTGCATTTGCTTAAGCCTTAAATTCCAAATTATATAAATGTGGGAGAAAGTAAATTGCTGCTAATTATTCATGTGGGTCTCTGTGTGCTAAAAACACAGTGAGAAAGCTTCTTCTCAAATGAGTTATGATTGTGGTGCAGCTTGCAAGTATTTGAGAAGAAGGTGCCCTCAAGATTGCATTCTCTCTCCTTATTTTGCTTCCAGTAATCCTAAAGATTTGCTTTTGTCCACAAAATCTACGGCGCCAGCAATCTTGTGAAGATGCTTCAAGTAAATGCATTCTGGTTATTACATCTTAATTTTTGCATGACTATGTTATAACAAGTGATATGGTGCATATGTAAAGATTTTTAAATAGTTATAAAAAAATTATGTAATTTTACTTATTTTCATTTGTAATCTATGATATTACTTGCATAATATTACTGGGTAGGAATAAATTATAGATAGAAGAAGACCTAAATATCTTTTGTATTTTAACATCTTCCCTCAAGTCAACTCTTTTTCATTTAATCCAAAAGCTCATCACATGACCCAAACCCCACAAACAAAAAATCACAACCCGTTCCGTTTCCAAACACAAAATTCCTTTGAAGGGGTGACAGGTGCACCTTCTCTCGGAAACGGTATCGTTTCATTTGGGTCTTTCTTCTGCTTCAAAGAATGACCAAAACTTAAACAACAAAGCTGCAGAACGGCACGGAGGGAGAGCGAGAGAGGGCTGAGCAGGCGTGAGTGAAGGGGCTTGCGAAGACGACAAGGAGAGACAGGGTACATGAGCAACAAAGAAACGAGCCACGCGCGAAAACCGCTGGGCTGAGAGCAGAAGCCGTTACATGAGAAAAGAAGAGAGTCGTGAACGCATGGCTGTAGAAGGGGCCTTCGGTTTCGGGGAGATGAGAGAGTAGGGACGCGATTTGAGAGGGTGGAGGAGGCAAGAAAACAAAGGCGATTAAAGGGAGAGAGGGAAGACGAGCTTGAGAGGGAAAATGGGAGCTTAGGGAGAGTGAGCCGAGGAAAGTATGACAGAGGGCTTTTAAGGTTTTCGAGAGCGAGTCGATTTGGAGGGGATTAAAAGACTTTAAAATGAGAGAGTAGCAGAACTAAAGAAGGGGTGGCATTTCGGCTTTGTAAGGAAGAAGCAGACCGGAGGAGAGAGAGAGAGAGAGAGAAGGAAAAAAGTAGAGGAGGATAAAACGGCGGTTTTTTTTTTTTTACGAAGAAGAGTAGAGCAGAAGGAGATTAGGAAGGCATATCAAATAGAGAGGAGGTTGAGTGGATTTCAGAGGGGAGAAAGAAGAAATTAGAGGCTGGAATTGAAAATAGAGATACAAGGCTGAGCTCTCGGGTTTTGGACGGTAATTGGATTTAGTTTCTGTTTGTGCATTTGAATATGAACGCGAATGTGATGTTTCACACTAGCGATTGAATGGAATTGCTACCTAGTTACATCCTTTTACTTTCTTAACTTTATGTTTCTTGTTTTTTGCTTTCAGGTTATAAGATTGCATTCATCTTTCATTCTTATGTTTATGTCTGGCTCATTCCTTTGTCTTTTAGTTTAAGTAGTTTGATTTGCTTTTGCCTTTTCCTATGTTTCTTTAGTTTTTAATTTCGTAATGCCATGGTGATTCCTCATTCTTGATGACATTTTTCACTTAATTTGTCTACATGGGCTTCATTAAAATGATATTGTTTTCTTGATTGGAGTTGTACGTGACTGCATTAATTCGTTTGGAGATTTTTTACCTATTAAGTCTAGTATCATGCTCAGCAAATTTTTCTTTTAGATATGCTATTTTATGCATCATTGCTTATTTTTCTTTAACAACGTTCATTTTTCAGTTTTATAGTAAATTGATAAACTTAGGCATGGTCCTTTTTCGGCTTTTTAATTGTCTTTTCTTTAAAAAAAATCTTATGTGCGTTATTTGAAGCTGGCTGACGTAGATGCATTGAGTGCCTTGATGTTCACTATTGTTTGACTAAGTTTGGAGGTTGAAAAGATGTGCCTAACAATTATTAGTTTGCTTCAAAATTATATGTTGTCTCTCTGTCTTTAGTTACTACCGTGGCATTAACCTTATTCATGTAGTTATGGTTTTTGTGTTTTTGTTGTGGTTCAACCTAACTCGTATACAAGAGCTTTAGTTAGTTCTATGATCCTTTACACTCAGAAAAAATATTAGAAAACTTTAATCAAAATCAATGAAACTATACTACTAGGTGGGGTGCCTTAGACATTTCCACATGGGATCAGTAAGTATTTTGGTTTCTAGGCCCACCCTAAATGGATTAGTGATAACTAAAATTTGAAATTATTTCAACATTTCTTTTTTGTGGTGCCTTTTGCCACGCCTTGTCACCCGTGTTGTGACACTAGGTATTCTGTGAAGGAAGTGAGAAAAATAGAGAGATCAGGAGGGGAAAGAATTTCAGGTTCTGGGGTGTAAGGGAAATAGAGAGAGTGAGAGAGAACCGGGGAAAATTCGGCTGTAGTATTTGGGTGGAAGAGAGAATAGAGTGAAGAGAAAGTGGTAGTAATGAAGTTTTGAACATTGTGGAGAGAACATAGACATATCGGGTTTTTGATGATTTGCTAGGACAGCATACCTTGTTTCTCCCTTTCTTTTCTTTTTCTCTTCACCTTCATGACTTTGCAGTTTGTAATATACATCAATTTAGATGATGGATGAAATGAAGATCATGGATTTTTCTTTCAGTAGATCAAACAATATAGGGATGATATTGAATGGCCAAACATATTTTAAATGGATTTGGTTGCTTTCCAAATATGAGCATGAAAAGTGTCTGTAGGAAACCTTATTGAAACAATTCCATGAAGTAGAGTTTGTGTTGATTTACTGGGTTGCATGGGAAGCATGTATGTCTTAATGTTTGGGATTAGTGTTAGAAGTAAGGCATTGTTAGCAGTTCTTAAAATTGGATCTTAAATTTCCAGTTTCCAGGTGCAAGCAAACAAAGTAGA